AAGTGGTGGGGATACAGCTCAGCACTCCCTGAGTTCAATCTCCAGTACTGGGGGGGAAATCCATTTTATCAGCAGTGTTTGCAAATGCAACCTGAGTTGTATGTGTGTTTTAAGAGAAAAAAGTAAAACTGACACAATAAGTTTGAATTCCATTGCTAGGAAGTATCTCCTGCCCTTAGCTCCATAGCTTGGGCAAATTAAAATGAATTCAACAGAGGATCCTAGAGTCCAGCTTCCTTTTCTTTAACCCACTGTGTTGGGGAAGAAAAAGAAGTAGAAACAACCCAAAATGATGGAACATCCATATAATGGAATAATAGCCTTAAAAGGAAGGGAAAGTCTGGCATGTGCTACATCCTGGATGTACCATGGAGGCCTTATACTTGCTAAAGAAGTCAAATACTGTGACTTCCATTTATGAGGTATCCATAGGAATGAGATTAGCACACAAGATATATGGATGTTTGTCAGGGGCTGGGGCCCTGAGGATTGGGGAGTAGGTGTTTTATGGTACAGAGTTTCAGTTTAGGAACATCAAAGTTCTAGAGATAAGTTGTCTTAGTTATTTATCACATTCCTGAGATTAAATACCCAACAACCAAAATTTAATAAGGAAAGGTTTATTTACCTCACAGTTTCTAGATGTTTCAGTCCATGGTTGGCTGGCCCCAAGGCAGGGTTACATGGCAGGCAGGCACTGCAGCGGACAAATACCTCATGGTGAGCAGAAGGCTGCAAAACAGCAAAGTAGCAAAGCGGCAAGCAACAAGCAGTGAAAACAGCAGCTCTCTTCCTGTCCCTTGTATTCTATAAAGGCTACCTGCCCTTAGGGCAGATAGAATTCACAGCCAAGGTAGCCTTAATCCCTGCATCACACCATGGATCCATCCTAGCATCACAAACTCTAGATCCAGACACCTCTTAAAGGCCCCACCTATGACTGCATGAGGCTTTGGGGGGACATCTACACATAATCCATAACATTGTCAATGGTAAAACTTGTAGAACAGTGTCAGTATAATTAATACCTATAAGTGGGCATTTAAAATTTATGCTGGACACATCAAAAGAAATCACCAACATGGTGAAAAAAAAAAACACATGGATTGGGAAAAAATTTTGGCCAACTGTTCCTCAGACAAAAGATTTCTATATAGAACATATAAAGAATTGAAAATAATCAGTCCCCCAGAATTCAAAGACCCAATCTAAAAATGGGCATCTTTGATGAATATATACCTCTCAGATAAAGAAATACAAACAGCAAATAAATATATGAAAAAAATGTTCAACATCATTGGTCACTCAAGAAATGCAAATTAAAACAACACTGGGATCCCATTTCACCCAAGAAAGAATGGCTATCATCAAGAAATCAACCAATAACAAATGCTGGAGGAGCTGTGCAAGAAAAAAAGAACCCTTGTCCACTATTGGTGCAGACTGGTACAACCACTCTGGAAGTCAGAGTAGAGATTTTTCAAAAAACTAGGATTAGAGGTCTCATTTGACACAGCTATTCCCTTTCTGGGTATTTTCCCAGAAGAATTAAAAAATCATACTATAGTGATATATGTGCACCCATGTTTATAGCAGCACAATTTGTAATAGCTAAATATTGGAAACAACCCAAATGCCCATCAACCAAGGGATGATAAAAAAGATGTGGCATTTTAATACAATGGAGTACTACTTGGCTGTAAAGAAGGATAAACTCGAGGCTTTTATAGGTAAATGGATGCAACTAGAGGCCATGCTCATAAGTGAAATAAATCAGATTCACATGTGTAAACATTGTATTGTCTCCCTAGTGTAAGAAACTGAAAAAGTAAACAAGATCCAAAATCTACAATAGATACTGTAAAAGGGAAAGAAACTGCCCAAAAAGAAAGACAACTGGCATGGGGAAAAGGAGAAAAGAAAAAAGGGAAAAGAAAAAAAAAGTATCTATATATATACACACACACACAAAAGATAGCTAAGACTTATACTATTAATTTCTTTTAGTTCATTGAAGGGAACAGTTTGTACTTATATTGTTTGAGCAATCTTGCATGCCTATAACCTGTAATCTGAGCAATTACTATGAAGATAACAATATGCATTATATTAACCATTGTTAATTATCTTGTTTTGAAATTCTGTATCATTGTTTTTATTTTCTTTTGCTTTAAAATGAAAAATAAATAAATAAATACAATAAAAGTTGTTCTGGGCATAGTAGTAGTGCAAATCTGTAATCCCAGCACTTGGTATGCTGAGGCAGGAGGATCAGTGTGAACTCGAAGCCAGCCTGGGCTACACAGTGAGCTTCAAGATCAGCCTGAACTACATGAGAAACCCTACTTCATAAAACAATACCAAAAAAAAAAAAAAAAAAAAAATCAAGCAGCCTTGAAAATGTAAGGTGAGTTTTTAGGGAATAGTGGCTGTTTTCATAAACTGCAAGAGACAGATTACTAGCAGGGTCTGTGCTAACAGCTCAAAAGGTCAACCATTAATGTGTCCAAATTCTGGTTTGCCAAGGCCTTTTGTCCCCATTTTAAGAGCCCTGAACCAATGCTACTCCATGCCAATCTTCCTCCTTGCCAAAGGTTAAACAGAACAAAAAAATTAGCCACACACAATGGCACATGCCTGTAATCCTAGCCACCCAGGAGGCTGAGACAAGTTCAAGACCATCCTGGGCAAATTAGCAAGACCCTGGATCAAAATAATAAAGCTCTGGGGCTGCAGTGCACTTCATTGCTACAGGTCTTGCATAGCACATGCAAAGTCCTGGGTTTCACCCTCAGCATCACAAAAAAACAAACAAAAAGAAAAATCCTGTGGCAAGCTCCTTTCTGGCAAATATCCAAACTATAAAATCACAGATCTCCACAAATACATCGGGGCCATAACACAAAGACAGAACACCTCTTATTCCTTTAGCAGTTGCAGGTATCACTACTATAGCTCAAATGTCCCTTATGCTATGGTTCCACCAGGGTTTCAGTGTAAAAAACAGCCCCTCGTGGCCCCTTCCTAGTCACTCATTGTTGGGGTCTACATCTAGAATGTACCCCAAGTTTCATGTGTTCAGAGGCAGTTTTGTAAGGTGGTTGGATCATAGGGGTGCTATGCTCACAGTGGATTCATCCACTGCTGAATGCGTAAGTCAAGGTACTATTGGGACATAGGGTCTGGCAGAGGCAGCTCATTGAGGCAGGACCTATAATGGCAAGTCTCCCTCCCCAGTTCCCCGCTTTGCTCTCTGCTTCCTGGCCACCTGAGCAGTCCCCCTCCCTCCATGTCCTCCCTCCATACCATGGCAGCATTTGACCCAGCCATGGACTGAAACTCCTGACGCCATGAGTAAATAATAAGGAATAATAATGAGGAATAATAATGAATAATAATAATAAGGAATAATAATAATGAGGAATAAACCTCTTCCCCTTTAAGTTGTGGTTGTGTTTCTCCCGTCTTTAAATAAAAAAAAATAAAAAATAAAAAAGAGAGAAACAATAATGAGTGGAATGGGTTCAAAGAGACTAAAAGACATAACCAATGGCAATAGATAAAACACAAATATGTGGGGGACTGGGGATTTAGCTTAGCGGCACAGCGCCTGCCTGGCAAGCACAAGGATGTGAGTTTGATTCCTGGTACCGAAAAGAAAAAAAAAAAAAAACATGAACATGCAAACTGGGTATGGTGATGCAGACCTACAGGTGCTGCATCCCAGCACTCAGAAGAGGGAGGCAGGAGGATCCCTACAAGTTCAAGGCCAGCCTGGACTACAAAGTGAGTTCAAGGGCAGCCTGACTACCTAGCAAGATTCTATCTCAAAAAGAAAAACAAACAAACAAAAACACAAGCAAAAATATGAGCATACAGTGTCTTATTCAAAAAACAACCAGAACCATATTTTGGGAAAATGTGTGGAATTTTACTTTCTCACATAGGCTGCATATTAATAATTGTTCATTTTCTTGATTCAAATAATACCACTGTGGTTTTAACAGGGCAATGTCTTCATAGAAGATGCACTACCAAGCATTTAAAGCTCAAGAGTCATGCAGAAAATTTCCAAATTCCTTTTTTTTTCTTTTTTCATTTTGTTTAGTTTTATTTTCTTTTTTGAGACAGGCTCTCACTATGTAGTTCATCCTGACCTTGAACTCACTACATATCCCAGGCTGGCCTCAAACTGGTGTTCCTCCTGCTTCAGCCTCCAGAGCACTGGGGTTACAGTCCTGGGCCACCACCCTGGACTTTTTCTTCTCTTAAGGCAGTCTTGCTCTGTAGTCCAGTCTGGCCTTAAACTCCTTCCTTACCCCAGGTTGCCTTGGAAACAACGCTCCCCTGCTTCAGCCTCCCCTGCGCTCAGGTCACTGGCATGCACCACTACACCAGGCTCTCCAACTTACTTTCTATCAAATAATTAGCCAGACAATGTATTTTTCTGCGAGACAGTAAATGATAAATTCAAGTGTTAAAGTATCACTACAAAAAAATGCCTTCCTTCCTAGAGGGCCGTTTGGAATCTGCAACAAGGTCAAAGGAAGAAAATGGCTGGGTATTCTTGTTATTTAGTAGAATGACTCGGGGTTCATACACTTCTTGTTGTTTGCTTTGTGTTCTGGTGCTGGGTTGGAACTCGGGGCTCATGCATGCTACGCATGGGCTCACCATGGAGCTGCACCCCACAACGCCCGTCTACACGTTTATAGTCACAAACAAAACATGCACGCCCTACACGAGTATTGTATCTTTCTACCTGATTGAAAAACAAATACCTCATGCGCAAAGTGAAAACCAATTTCTGTAATGAAACGTTTGTTTGTAAAAACAGGAGGAAGAGCCGGGCGTGGTGGCCTACGCCGGTCATCTCAGCACTCGAGAGGCTGATGCAGGAGAATAGCTGCAAGTCTGAGGCTACAGTAGGCGACCCTGTCTCCAACAGCAGAAAGAACAGCTCTCAAGCCAGCTTTCTCCCAGTGCTCACCAGGACGCACCGAAACCGCCAGGTCCGTGAAGCCGGAGGACACAGCGCTGGAGTCCAGGGAACTTGACTGGAGGAGAATTCCTTTCCTCAGGGAAAAAGTTCACCTACTGTACGGAGCCTTTTGAAAACGCAAGGACCCTTTCCAAACAGAGCTCCGCGACGGAAACTGGCTCCTGGCAGGACCCGTAGGGATGATGGCTGAGCGGCCTCTCGGATCCCCTGAGAGAGCGCACGCCTGGTCGGAAGCCTGTGCCCTACGCCTTCTCAACACCCCTTTTACCAATTCCTCCACCTCGCCCGGCCTCACCAAAACTGCCTTACACATCCACAACTAAGGAAAAACGGACTTAACGGTGCGCGGCCAGCTCCAGAGAAGCCAGCAGGTAGCGGTGATGTCACTTCCGCTCCCGAACCCGGGCCGGAAGAGCAGGGCCGCCAGGCTCTGACTGGCACTTTGAATGGCTTTTAGGCACAGAAATTCCGGCTTTCTCCGTTTTGGTGTAGATGGGCCGGGGACGGAGTCACAGCCGGGGCTGGGCGCAGATACAGGGCTGGAGGCCAATGCTGAGGTAGGAGCCAGGCGTGGGGTCATTTGCAGTGGGGCCCCGCCCACCTGATTTCCTGGGTCGTGGAAGCCAATAGGCAGGGCTGTCTACGGAAACGCTGGGCGGAAGACTAAAGGACAGGCGTTTGTGAAAGCAACTTGGCGTGTGTTTACGTGGGTGCAGGTAGGTAGAGAGCGGCAAAGCAGTCTGCCCCGCACAAAGAGAAATGTGCCCCTTCTGTAAGGATGCAGAGAGGTCAGGAGGAAGATTTAACGAACATCTGTGATTAAGGTTTTCTGGCAGCCTTATATGCCAGTGGGCAAAGTCCTTGAAGTATCCGTTGTAAATTTTTTGGGTGTCTCCAGGGCCAGCAAAATTCCTTATTCTAGCTTATCCTCTTGCCTGTGTTTGCAGATGACTGCCTCCAGAGCTGAGATGAATTCCCTGAAGAGAGTAGTGCTTCTCCTGGCAAGTAGGCTGGGGAGTCGGGCCAGGTTGGAGATTTATCTCGGTTGGTTATAAAATACAGCTGGGTTTTCCTCTGCACCCTCTGTGATGCCATTCACTTTATCATAATTAACAGACTTTCTAGTACATCTTTTTTTCCTATGGTAAAAGCAGCTAGCAGAGGGGATCTATCTGATTTATTGGCCTGGGCGTTGTAAGGAGTTGGAAGATATCTCCCAGTGTCATCAGGCAGGTGGAGAGACCCACATCCCCCCAAGGGACAAATGGGGGGGTCTCAGAATAAAGTCATCCAGTATACCTTCATCCAGGTACCTCTTCTTAGAGGCTCGCTGCACGTGTCACAGTTCTTAAACATTTCCTTGAATAAAGTCATGAAAGCCTACACATAAGGCCTTTTACTCCACCATTTCTGTTCCAAGCAGAAACACTAACTGGAAAATAGTCCCATAGTTTAAAGTACCATCCCAAACTCATCTTTTGCCACCTCGCAATTCATATTGAACCCAGACCATAGTGCAACACTAGATACACTGTTCTTGTTTACAGCTGTCAGCATCAAACCTGTCCCATTTGTCAAGATCTGGCCCAGTGGTGAAGTTGGTAGAATCCGTGTGTTGACAAGTTCCAATAGATTTTTCACCTGCTTTCTTGGGACCTATAGGGACAAGGAGACAGCTAGGCCTGAATTTCTTTTTTTTTTTTTTTTTAGGCCTGAATTTCTTAAGGCATCCCACAAAGCAGGAGGGGACCCAAAGTCCACAAGATGCCTCTTGTGAGACTTACGCTCAGCTTGGATAGACATCTCCTTCCAGACCTAAGGCTGGGACACCAGTAGCAAGAGCACAAGCAGGGAAGAAAGCCCCCTGAGGGCATTTGTCTTCCTATTGGGACCCATTAACTCCTAGGGGCAAGGAGGCTGAGTCAGCTCTTGGACTTGTCTAGTCCTTTAATTCCCATGAGGTGATGGTGGAACTTTTCCAAGCAGAGTTCCTTTAACTACTTCATTGAAGCACTCTTAGACCATATGGGAAAAACATTTCTTGCATTTGTTTGGATGGAAAAAGGACTAAGAATGGGGATGGCTCTGCTTTTATAGGTTCAGTCACTTCAGTTAGCTTTTAAATGTTGTTAAACATGGTTCTGGTCAGGCATAGGTCTTTATCTGCATTTAAACAGGGAAACACAAAAGCTAGGTGCCTGTAGCCTCCGGCAGGCTCTTGGGCTGAGGGGGAACAATGTTGGTAAGCTGTAGGCAGGGCCACTGGCTGAGGGGCCACACTCAGCCCTAGTGTCCTGTGTAGCAGCTGCACCAGCTTGTGCCCTTTGTGGTACCCTGGGTGAGCACAGCGCCAGCTGCCCAAACATCCACTCAGCAGAGGTGCTGTTGAGCCTGTTGCCCCACAGGCTCAGTGTGGGCCTGACAGGGCCTACAGTCCCTTGGTGCCTTTGGCCTTTAAATAGATGAAGCCCTTGGCCTAGCTGTGCATGGATGGCTTTGGCCTATCCAGTATTGTTTGTCATGTCCACCACTCAACCAGGTAATCTGGGCCATGAGGAGGTGGGCAAGGCATGGTCACCCAATCATGGGCACTAGGCCAGGTGTTCCCCTGGGCCAGCTTTGCAGGCCCCTCTTTTTTTGTGCAGAACCACCATAAAATGACCACAATCTGCTGGAACAGGCCTCCAGGACTGCCTGTGGGGGATTGTGCAGGTGCCATTGGGCACCGCTTTATGTATCTGCATTTGCCAGGACAGAGGCCAAGGTCCTCTGGTTATAGCTCTGCACCCCCGAAAGGTTTTGCACTGGCAAAGACTGCATGATTCTTAAAGGGATAATACAGTTTTTCTTTTGTGCAGGAAGAAACAAAAGGTTCCTTTCTCCTGTTCTTAAAATCCATATGCTCTTTAAAATCAGAGGCTTAGCTCATAAGGCCAGTTATTTAAAAAGGAAAAAAGAGAAAAAAAGATGCCAGTGGCTCGCATCAGACCCACAACTGGACAGAGAAGAAAAAACGCTGAGCAGAGCCACTGACCGCAGCTGCAGAAACACAGAGATAACAGGGAGCCAGAGCTTGCAAAAGGAGGTGAACAAGCAGCTGCCCTAGGCAGCCACACCTGCAATGCATGGATGTCAGCAAGACTCGCACACCCCATACCCACACTGAAAATTTTCCACTCCTCCCTACCATACCCCTCCCTCATCCAAACACCCTACAAAACCTTCCCCTGCCCCTGCCTGACTGCTCCCTCAGGGCCAGTGACCTTATCTCCATTGGCTGCCTGCACCCAGGCTCAACTTTGCCTGACTTGGTGGTTCCAGTCACACCTCAGTTTACTCCAGTATCTCATGCTGAGATGCAGGAAGCCAGACCTTCTCCCAGGAGAGTCCCATCTCCCCAGCTGGGGGTTTCTGCACCCCCAGCTAACTGAGGCCCCCACTGACATTCAGCCCTCAGACGTCCCCTTGCCAAGACTCTGCTCCTCCACTTCCCTTCAGGTTAGGTAAGTCTCCCTCTTTTCCTTTACTGTTCATCTTTCTCTTCTTTCCCCCCTTCCCCCACATTGTGATTTTGGGATAACCTGAGATCAGCTTCTGAGTGGTGTTATTTAAATCCTGTACTGGTCATACTCATCTCTGGAGTCCCTGTTTTGGAGAAACCTAGTTTTGGAGATGTCAGGCTTGGTTGTCTGTCCACTCCATCTGTCATCAGGAAAAAGATCAGAGACGTCCTTTCCTTTTCTTCACTTCCCCCATCTGGTTGATCTTGACTTACCCTCCTGGGCAATCTTCCTTCCTCCACCCACTCCCTACATAATCTCAGGCCGCTCTATTTCTACCCCTACCTGAAACAGAACAAATCACATTCTTTTGTCATTTGGCCTGGCCAGTCTAAAAGCTGGACAGTAAATCCAAATGGCCATTTAATGTCACGTTTATCCCTCCATTCTGTGAGATTTAGACAATTGCTGACTCATGGAGAAATAGTCCAAGGTTCCATATGTCCAGGTGCTTTTCATGCTTCCCCAACTCCCCGCTCTCTGCTCCCTGTCTGCCCTCCCCTTGGTGCCATCGCCACCCCCCACTATGAGTCCTCCACCACTGACCCCTCCACCCTAACTTCCCCCACTTCCCCACCAACCTCGCCCTCCTCCCATTGCACCCCAGCCCCAACAGCCATCCCCTCACCTCCCACTTCACTCTCCTCCCCACTTGTAGGTCTGCACTTCTGTACCCCCTTGGCCTCCCTGCCACCCACTTTCCTCTTCCTGAGGTGATGGGTGCCTAGGGCATCATTCAAATCCATTTACCCTTTTCTCTCACTGACCTTTCCCAGATCAGTCACTGCCTTGGTGCCTTTCTCTCTCATCCTGTCACTTACAGCCAGAAGTTCCAATACACTCACATGAGATGACATTAATATCATCCTTACCTCCACCCTCTCTAAAGATCAAAAACAAACTAAATCCTAACTCAGGCATATACTCAGGAATAATGAATTCAACCCAATTGAAGAGAAGGGACTTTAGCCATCCCAAAGGTTATACCACAATGAGACTTTAACCTGACTGACAATCATAGAAATTCTGTGGCCAGGCAAAACTGAAATTATATGATGACCTGCCTGAGTGCTTAAGAAAGGCAGCTCATAAGTCAATTGATTATGATAAACTAAAAAAAAATTTCAAACTAA